AAATAAAATTTGATGAATTTGTGCTCCTCCAGATATTATCTGTTACAATAAGTTAAATGAAATAAAGCCTTAATTTTTTGAGTACCCAACCTTGTGCATTGTATACCAAGATATCTATGCTGTTAACAAAGACAATGATCATACCAAGTGAAAAAAAAATTATGACACAAAGTACAATGAAAGAAATAGTAATTTTATAAAAGTCATACCACTTGTTCAGGTGCAAACCAGCTACCAAATGTAGCTACATGAAAAAAAATATCTCATTATAAAAAATATACCTTGATATTTATATTAGTTGACAGCTGCCAGATTTTTTGACAGAAGGAAATTACTGTTCCTTCCTTTGTGTTTTTTAGCTTCACTGAGTGATATCCATTTTGAAATTTCCTTCTTGAAGATGACTTTTCTAAAAGTTTTTTGATTAACTTTCTTTTTGTTCCATTCCAGAATGAGTAAGTAAAGAAGAACTTTCCTAAGAATATTATTATGGAGAATTTTTGTTATGAAGTGGGATTTCCTTTGTAATTTATCAGTCAAGCATTAGTCATTTATCTTGCATACCAAGAGCTGCCCTACCCTTACTGCTTGGTCATTTATATAGTCTATGCCTTACCTATGATAATTAGGCAGCCATTTACATATCACTACAGTGATTTTATTAATCAAAATTTAGTATTTAATTCCTACACAAATATTATAGATTTAAACAAGCAAGTTGCAGAAATGTGCATTGTTCAGATATCCACATGAAGATGGGAGGGTACTGAAAAATTCTTTGCCTGTCTTGGAAGCCAAAAATGATCATGAAATTTAGTCAGATTTTGAGAAATGGGCTAGACTGAGAACTTATATAAATATAAATATATTGTTTAAAATTTTCTATATTCATAAAGTAAGTATATGCTCAGTATAAGAGATAAAGGATTTATAGATATAGACAGTGTGGACTAGGGAATCAACACTGCAAAGTAATCAATTTTACACTTCAGTGCTATCTTGGTTTGAAGATTACACTGAAATTGAAACTTACAGTCACATGCAGTTGTTAAATGCTATATGTCCACACCACATACATATTTATATATATATATATATATATATATATATATATATATATATATATATATATATATATATTAAAAGATCAAATATAGATCAGAATCTGACAGGATGATAAAATAAAGAACAATTAAGAAAAGTATATCAATCTAACATGTTTCATTTTTTTTTATTAAAGCTTTGTCAGAACACACAAATATAGCATACATTAAAACTATATTTTTTATATATATATATATATATATATATATATATATATATATATTTCTCTCAATCTCTGACAAAGCTTTAATAAAGTGAAACCTATTAGAATGATGTTTCCTATTTGTTCTTTATTTTATCATATATATATATATATATTCTTTCTATCTCTCTCTCATTCTCTCTCTCTCTCTCTATATATATATATATATATATATATATATATATATATATAGAGAGAGAGAGAGAGAAAAAGAGAGAGAAAGAAATATGACAAGTATGGATGAATCATCAGCTGAATATTATTAAATTTCCCAAATATTTCTTGTTAAAGAAGAGATGTGTGTCATATTTTAGAAAATACTGTATATATTTTGTGTGTGTCACACTGTTCATAGATCATATAGATACCACACTGATCCTAGTATCTAGTACTAATTTATATGCAAGTAATACTGTCATTTTCATGGCTATTATACTTAGTGATGACTATAATAATAATAACTTGTTTATAAATTAACTAATTAATTGTTTTATAAATTAAATTCACGGTAAACTCCTAAATCAATGAAACTTAGAGGTGAGTATTGATAAACTGATAAAAACTTTGTGAAGCAATTAAAGCAACTCTCAATTCTCATTATAAGAAAAAGATAATAAAATAAGCAGTTTATTTACATTATTTACACTTGGACTTATCAGAAATAAACCCTATTTCCAACACAATTACATACCAACATACATACCATATTAAAACATACCTAAACTTTATTTTCTAGCCCATAACTGATAATATTTACAAACATGCCAAAAAGATTCCACAATAAAATACACAGCATTTAAATTAAAGTGTCTGTTGGTTAGAAATTAACATCACCATGATCATCAGAGAAAACTAAAGCTCTATTTTTCTCAAGCCTATTATCAGGTAAAATTTCTTTGAAAAGGCCACTGATTTCAACTTTCAAAGAGCAGATATGCAGCTGTTTCCAAGCCAAAATGAAGCCATGGGCATTTAGTTTTCTTTCCCCCAGTGTGTATTGAAAGAAACATATGTCAGCAACTTCAAATGAATTGCTTCCAACAACCAAGATGATTAGTGAATCTTTGCTAATGATAATTTTTTTTCAACCACAGCTTTTTTCTGTGGACCAACTATTTAAAAGTCTTATCTAAACTACAGATTTTCTGTGAACCAACTGCCCAAAGATTTTACCTCAACTGAATGCTATTTTTAATACTTTCTAACTCTTTTGAAGTCATGTATATATGTTTTTAAATACAAATGATTTATTGAACAGATACACCCATGTTTTCATTATTTTTATCTTATTGTTTGGATTTCAGCTGTTCAGATTTTTCTAATAAATAAACCTTGACAACAGAATTTTCTATAAAGACAAAGACAACAGGTCAAGTGTAAATAATAATAATTTCTCATCTCAGAAATTCAAACAGAAATTATTGAATAGGTTGTGATATGCTAATGGAGGCAATCAGAAAAGCTCCATTAAAAATTGGCACAAATATCAAACCACCTGACATTCTTATTACAGATGTAAGGACATAAAGCTAGTTCCAATAGTCTTATCAATCAAAACATTAGTCAATTCCAGGAGAACAAAAAGGGCAGTGGAAAGAGCAGAACATACCCTCATAAGGAAAAGGATTCTCCACAACTGTTGGGAGAAACACTAGCTTCAATGTGAACTCTCTGAACAAATAAAGACATTACTTAGCAGAATAACACTTGACTAAGACAAATGCAGAATCTAAAAAAAACCTTCATAAATCATACTATGAAGAATTTTAAAGGGTCCAGTCTTGCCAAATACAGAGAAAGATGAGGACAATGGTCCAAATGTTAATGTAAATAAATACAGAAATTAAGACAGAAATAAACACTTTACTTTTAATTTTAATCTCACCAAAAGTAACTTTTACAGCCAGAATAAAGCAAAATATAGAAAAGTTGCTTCTTGACTATATATTTCATATCTAACATATTTGCTTGAATTTTATTTTCATATTTTTACTTCTCTACAAGTCTGTCCTGGCTAATGTACATATATCAATTTTGTTTACACCAGGATCAACTACAGTTTTGCCCATGTTATTATAAAACATATCATAAGAATAAATTGAACTCTTACAAGTCACAGTATTTGTATAATAATCATAATGCTATCTTCTAACAAATTTCAGCAATTTATAGAAATATATAGAAAGTTAACAAAAGATTAGCCAAATCGGAAGGAAAATGTATTATGAGCTTTAAGCCAATTTCCAGTTAAAGTTCTGAATGTAAAATGTAATTATCATTTACCTAATTAGGAAAAAAACAGTATGCAAAACTCAGTTATAAGAGAATAATTTCTAAAAAAATATTTTAACTGATTCAGCAAAATCTATGTTGAAGCTACAATATAACTTTTTTTAAAATTGTTTCACCACAAGCAAGGCAACTAAACCACTAAGATGCAAGGGTTTACTGAGTGTGAAAGAATGTGAGAAAAAGGAAAATCTTATTAAGGAGAGAGAACAATAAAAGAACAGGAATTAAAGAAACAAAAGATGTCAATTAACATTGCATTTAAAGTTTTGAAGGTCAAAGTTGACTGGAAAGCAACAGAGTGGAAGAGACTTCCATGAGAAATAATTTCCTAACTATTTATTTTGTTGTTATTAATTATTTCATCCAAAGTAATCTGTGTCTGTCCCACTCAGAAACATAAAAAATGCTGAATTATACCAACAAGCATGAATTAAAATTTACTGTAGAAAAATTCAATTTTATGTGAAAGAATATAATTGAAAAAAAATTTTGTTTTAAATTATAATATTCTTAACAAAGAAAAAAAACATTTGAACTGGGAAGAAATTCTTTTAATCAAGTCAAAATGACAACAAAGTCTTTATTTTTGTAAGTTCTTTAGTTTTTAATGCTGAAAATATTTTTAAGCTTTTTATTGATTCATATCAGTAATCTTTGTGGCAACAAAAGTATAATGATAAAGTTTCATTACAAAGAAATATAAAGATATTTAGAACTTCTTATTATGACTACCAAAATTTATTAAAGTATTTTTATATAGGTCACTATTATCAGTTATGCCTGTAATCATGGAAACACTGGAATGAGTGAAAACATTTAGATATCAAATAACAGATCTGTTGAAAACAACAAGAATATTAGAGTGTAAAGAAGATCTGCTACATAAAACTAGTGATAATGTTGAAAAAGATAAATTATTCAGAAAACATGTCTACATTTACAGTCGTTTTATACATCATAAAAATTGAGCCAATAAAAACCAACCTGTCTCTTTATTGTAGACATGTTTCTTATGCATTAGTTATTTGAGTGATAGTGAATGGAAAAAAGTGGTTAACGTGCTTTGTAATTATATAACATAATCTCTTTTTTACTGAAGAGATAAAAAAAAATGTGAAATTGAGTGATTGATCAATTCATTTTCTACAGCTTATCAACCTTTTGCAGGTTATTTAAAGACAGAAAATATTAGATCACAAGAATATTTTGGAAGATAATAATGCTTTAATGATATAAGTCTAACTAATTAACCTATAGCTGGGGGGAGAAGAGGTGGATTAATACCTTTCCCAATGGCATTTGTGCATGTGAATATAATGAACCCAACAAGGCTTGGAACTCAGCTCTCTGATTAACAATTCCAAACCATTATCCATTACACCATCTGTACATCCAAGCTTAGAGCACCTGGTATTCCCAAGTGGTTACCCATCTAGGTACTGAGCAGGCTCAATGTTACTTAACTTTGGTGATCGTACAGGAAGCAATGTTTCAACATGATGTGGCTGCAGTCTCCAATATGTGAGATATAATGTTGGGAACAAGAAGTAAAAGTACTGTAATAGTATTGTTGTACTGGTACTAATAAGAACAAATGACTAAATCTCTCATCAGTTACATTATTGTTTAGGACTTTGTCATTTACTGTGAGTGAGTATGTGGCTTTGGGGTTTCTCTAAACATGGCTTCTAAATTCTCATGAGTATGCAGAAGACTCTCCTCTCTTATCTTTCAAATAATTGCTTATATATCTGTCACCCAATTTTTCCTATATGTGCACATCCCAAACATAGCTAGGTCAACCAACTGTTCAATGATATTTAATGAAAGTATGGATCTGCACCTAACAGATCTGAGGTTATCTATCAGGTCAACCTGCTAATGCACATGTCTTCACTGATGGACACTAAGTGTAACATCTATTTTGGCATCATCAGAGGTGAGTTGCATACTACAGTAGTTTACAAATATAACAATGTTGCTTTTTATATGTTTGCATGTCATTGCTTATAGATTTATACCCATGTCCACATATATACCTACACAGGAGGTTCCCACAAAATGAATTCATATTTTATCAGTGTATAACTCTATAATACATCATTTAAATATAAATCATATTTGTGTATAATTATTTTTGCTTATAAAATTCATAAGACTTAGTCAAAAGCACTTAAACAAAAACATAAACTTAGCCTATCATATGCATTGAAAAACTCAGCACATATGCTAGACTAGTAAGCCTAAGCATAGAAACAAATATAGTATAGAGCCATTAAGAAATAAAGAAAGAAAAATGACAAGGTTTCAACTACAGCCACAGCAGAAAAAAAGAAACTTCAGTAAGTGCAATTAAGCATAACAAGTAGCAGCTCATCAACAGGCAGGCTAGGTTTAAGTCTCCAATGATTGTACTATGGAATAATAGCCTTATGGATTAAATTATTGATTTATGAATTTAGTAAGATAGTAATTATGAATTCAGTTCCTGAGCAGAGATGTGTGTACTTGGACAGTGGAAATGGGGTAAGTAATCTCTAAGCAGTACTAAATAAGACATAGTCAGTGGAATGAGAACACTCTATCTCTATAGATTAAAATAAAGGGTTCAGTTTGAAATTCCTTGAAGGTTACCTGGATTGACAAACACCTGAGGATGGCCAGAGGGCACATTGGTCAAAACATTGTGATAACAACAACAAAGATGGGGACAGTAGCATGTAGGAGAAGGGCAGAGGGTGCAACAATCCTGGACATTCATATCAGGAGGGAATCCAATCAAAAAGTGAAATAAAAATTTAGTTTATATTTAATTTAAATAAAATGTTTATTTCATGTTTCATCTGTTTTTAAATATTTAAAATGTCTTCCTTTCTCACATTTCTTAGTACTAAGCCATATATGTCCCCCCCTACTTGAGTCTTAGGGGGTATACAATCAAGGAGTTGGCCTCAGGCATCACCAAATATCATCAAAACCTCAGCACATCACTGGATGGGGACAATAGTCTGCATATAAATAGTGTAAATAATAATAACTCCTCATCCCAGAAATTCAGGCAGAAGGTGATCAGGTGATAAAAACAACAAAGATGATTACAATAGCCTGCATGTAAATAATAATAACTCCTCATTCCAGAAATTCAGGCAGAAACCTAAACTTTGGACAGTTTATTCACAGGTGATAAAAACAACAAAGATGAGGACAATAGACCACATGTAAATCATGTAAATAATGATAACTCCTCATCCCAGAAATTCAGGCAGAAACCTAAACTTTGGACAGTTTATTCACAATTTTGATCCTGATGTACAATGTCTTATTTGAAAATTGGAAAAAATGCAATGAAAAATTAATCACACAGACTTTGTTCAAGACCTCAAAAGTATGTTTTCATGCTAAATTTACCTAGTTTTCCTTCTGTCAAGGATTCTTTCAATCAGATCTTTTTCATAATCTTTCTTTACATTGCTCAGACTATCATCCTCATCTTTGTTGCCATATTTATCACAATGTTTTGGCCATTGTATGCTCCAGCCTTCTTCAGGTGGTTGGAATGTCGAACTGAACCTTTTATTTCACTTGCTGAGGTAGACCACTGTGCCATGTGTCCTGACACAGTGGATAAAGGCATTAGTTAGATCCAGTGACAGGACCCAAACAGTGTGAGTTCAATACCTGATTAAGGTGGTGGAGAACTTGGAGAGAAGAAGGCCGGAGTCTACAACGACCAAAAGACATTGTGATAAATATGACAACAAAGATGAAGATGATAGTCTGAGCAATGTAAATAGTGTACATAATACCTCATCTCAGAAATATAGACAGATAATAATCTTTCTTCTTTATTGGATTTTTTAATGATACTTGCTGGCCCATATTTTCCTCTTCCTGTTCACTACTCATTCAGTCACTTTGATTCTTTTCTCTTTTTAGAAACACTTGTGTGAAATATATGTGCATAGTAATACAGCATGTTCAATCAAAAGCTTGAATTCAATGAAATCAGTTCCCATTTTAAAGTCAAACATTTTTTATAATAAACAAACTTTTTCTTTTTCAGTAGAGACTAAAATGTTAATCTCATGGCCAACAGTCTAATATTCTAAGAACTGAATATCTGCAAAGAGTTATAAGGTTAATTTCTAGTCAAGTTATAAGTTTAATTTCTAGTCAATTGAGATAAAATGTTATTTAATTCGCTTGTAAGATGTTAGGATATTGTTATATAAAAATGTTTTCTTCTTATTTTAACATTATTAAAATAGCTTTGTCAAGTCATTTTTCTGATTATGTATTAAAAATGTCTCCTTCATTTTAATTCAGTAAAGCATAATTTACATACTTTTGTATGTCTAAAGTACTTCAGAAAAGTAGTTTCACATTTATGAATAATTATATAAAAGTCATTCATTATTCTTAATTTTTATAATTTAAAAAAAACACTTATTGAAATTTTAAAAAATGTATAAAATTAAAATCTTTCACTTTTATGCAAAAGATGAAACTATCTTTCAGTTTCATCCACACACATATTATTGTGGAGTTACTCCACTTACTTTCCTAAAAAATTGCTGTTAGGAGACACTCCCTAAGCCTATTAATAGGTAGTGACATTCTCTGTCACTTTCTTTTTCTTTTTTCACTCAGGGGCAGTAAGATGTAGGTCAGACGAGGAAAACGCTTTCCCACTGGGGAAACATGCACACAAACATATGCACCATTCACTTCATTTTCTCTAAAACTTTCTCCTACACTAAACTACACACACAAACAATTCACTAGTTTAAATGTTTTCTTCATTTATGTTCATTATTTTGTAACATGCAACAATATTCTATTTTCTATGTACACCCATGTATTGTTAATACATATTTATCATTTGTTTATATATATAGTTTTGTTGTTACTTTGTTCATTTATCAGCTGAATTCACATTCTGTTGTGGTAGAATTATACCAGGAAATGCATGTTTTCCAACTAAACACTCAACCAGCATACTCTCACAACAGATTGCAAGTACGATTTAATAATACATGGAGATAGCTGTGTCTCCGTAAAAAAATCAATAATAATATCAGATATCTTAAAGTTCTCACAAAATATGTATACAACTCATGGTAGCAATTTCATCAACATCAGCTCAACAATTTTACCAATCAAAACTTCTATTGAAATTTTGTGTGCCAACATCATCCATGCATATCAAAACAAACCAGGCTTTCCACACAAAATCAATTCAAAGTTGAGCATTGGAAAATAACAAAATTTTAATACCAACCACTGATACCTTTCTTTCTACACTATCGACATATCTTCCAGGGTGTACTATGACTCTGACCCACTAGAGAATTATATAGCACCCTGATGGCACAGTACTTCAGACAGGTACATTTTCATTAACATGTTTAAACACACATTGCAACTACACTGTTCAAATCTTTTTCTTTTCAGCTTATAAGGGACAAATCAAACATACACAAACTTTATGTACATATGGCCAGAATGAAATTATCCTCATCTGGAAGGGAGTATTATGAAGTTACTTCACTTACTTTCCTAAAATACAGTGCTAGGGGATGCTCTAAATAGGTAGTGACATTCTCTATCTCTCTCTTTTTTCTTTTTCATTCAGGGACAATTAAGATGTAGGTCGAATGAGGAAAATTGAAAATGCTTTCCCATTGGGGAAGACATACGTGCACATGCATAAACACCTTTCACTTCATTTTCTCTAGGGCTTTCTCCTACCCCAAACTACACACTCAAACGATTCACTAGTTTAAATGTTTTCTTCATTTATGTTCATTGTTTTGTAACAATATATTGTTGCTTATTATATATATATATATATACTTTGTTCCTTTATTACCCAGACTCACATTCTGAGTCCAACATTTTTGTTGTGGGAAAAATGTACCAGGAGACATGTCTTTTCCAACCTAAACACACCTAGCATACTCCTGCAACAATATAGACATGGAATTTATCAATTTCATTTTGCCTCATTTGTTTTTCTTCCTATATTTATCTAATTCTCTCGATCTATCTCATTCTGTTGATACTTATCAGATCCCTTAGGTTTGCATTCATCTGTCCATTCATGCACTGATCTACCTATTCCTGATGTTGAAACTACTTGATTTTAGTTTGTTTTTTGTTTTTTTGTGCTATAATTTTTTTGATACATTTGATGCACTTCAGATAAGCCTTCTGCTCTGAAAACACTAATAAGATTGCAGTGGATGCATTCTAAAATCAATATTGTCTTAGATTTTAAATCCATCATTTTCATTTATTTTTTTATACTCTTTTCTAATCATATTTTCCCCTTTACCTTTCTGTTGTTTGTGAATATTTTGTATACGAGGGTGGCTCAATAACTCCATAGTCTGATATGTACTAGCTAAATTTTGATCTGAAATTTTCACTCTATAATGTTCAATCTATATGTTTAATATTCACCACTGGATTAGGTGCTTTGACCATGAAGGAGATTATATCAAAAAG